CCCCAAAACCCCAAAACCCCAAAACCCCTTGAGAATAATTTTCAGGTGTAACTGGGATAATGTATTCTTAAATAAATAAATCAATAATTATGATGAAGCTAAATGCTTAACTTACTATAATATTATTAATATTCCATAAACCCGATTTCATTCATCTTGGATTATTTTTAGATAGAGGTATTAAAAATGATTTTAATACTTCTCTATCGTAATCTTTCATATCAATATCATCTATCTCATTCTAATCATTCAAGTTAAGTTATGTCATGTTCTCATTTGAATAGTGAAATTTCTTAAAATGTTTATTCAATTAGAATCTTCTATAAAAATTCTTGTCACAGATCAAGCAATTGTAATCTCTATGATTTATTAAGAAACGATAATTACCTTTGCTTGTAATGCCGTTTTAAATGATCCTCAAGATTCCCTTTTGAAGTAAATGATGTGCTGCAAATCTCACATTTAAATGGTTTTGAGCCAGAGTGCGTTCTTAGATGGACATTCAAGTTTCCTTTTTCTGTGAAATATTTATAACAAACATTACAATGGAAACGTTTTTGTTTATTATGAATGTTTTTAATGTGCTTTAAGAGGTTATCCTTTCTCGTAAGCTTTATTTTACAGATTTAACATTCAAAGATTTTAAGATGTTTACTTTTCATTAACTTGCATTCTTTAAACTTTTAATCAGATTATAGTTATTGGTTTCCACTTATGTATTCAGTTTCTTGTTTAATCTATATGAGATCAGTGATTCAATTATTGCTTTTTTAATTAATAAATAGTTATTCTCTATTAATATCATTTTGCTAATTTTATTGATGCCAAACAAGGCCTTGATCCACTTCTTTAATCTCCTTATTCATATCTAAAATTTGACTGATTTTCTATTCCTGTAAATACGAATTAATCTCTAACTTGCTATCTTTAGTTTCCTTTTCTTTCGGGAGATCTAGGAAGCAATAATGCTTATTGCAGTTTTAACTTTGATTGAGATTTTTAAACAAAATTTTGCTTTAGCAAGGGTGCTCACTCTCTTATTGCCCATCTTATTAAGAGGTTTGCTGCATGTTTTATTGAGGAGAATATTCAGTAGGCAGACTAGAATAGAAATCTTACTGTCTCCTTGAATTTTATTAAATACAGTCATTTCAGTTAAAATCGTAGTTAATCTTTGGAGTATGGATCATCTTTGAAACCTATTAGAAAGTTTCTTGGAATGTTTAATTAGAACTTAATCCTCTCATAAACTTAGTAATGTTTCTTTATTTTTATATTGTGCTAATATTTTGAAGGCTTAATCTATTAATTGCAATTACTAATAATTAGTTAACTTAATGAAGATTTAACTTCTTGTAAAATATTGAAAATCAATTGCGGGGTTTTGGGGTTTTGGGGTTTTGGGG